GGTCTGTATGTGGGATCCGAACCCTCGGGCGGGAGCGCCGCCGCGCTTCCCAAGCGGCGTATTTATCCAATGCACCACCGGGCCGGCCCAACCTTTGTTTTTTTTTTTAACTAACATTTTTATGGATGGAGGGTGGTGAGTGAAATTTGTGCAAATAAGTAATTTTATTCCCAGCACAACATGTGCATATTAGAGGAATATTTATAAAATTTTGTTTAATCAAATCCAAGGTATTACTGGCAAGTGACACAGGTTGCTGGAAAAATTAAAAACTGAAAAATCACAGCTACGTTGGTATTTGCCAATGTCTACCGCAAGGTTTTAGGCTCTGGTTATTATGACAGTAAGCCAGAGATTAGTGCGTTTATAATTTATAACAATTCCTCTCATTACTCAGTTATTTTTAAAAGGTTTGCTTAAATTCCTGAATGAGGGTTTTTTTTCATCTTTTTTTGGTAAAATTTGAAGGTTTTAGGTGAATGCTGTGGAAATACTTGGTGACTTCTTAAAATATCCCCTTTTTTTATTCAAAGACTTCAGTGACTGTTATTCATAAGTTTAAGACAATCATCTCATATTTCTGGAATTATCATATACTTGATATATACTGAATTATAATAAAAACTTTCAAACATGTGTATTTAATTTAGAACCTGTTAACCACTCTGCTGCTGATAAGATTCCTTTAACAAAAGTCGGTCGACGTCTGTACACTGTAAGACACAGAGAGTCTGGAGTTGAAAGATCTATTGTTTGTCAAATTGATGCAGTGGAAGGAAGTAAGAAGGTAACAATTCGCTCCCCAGTGCAGGTACGAAATGATCAATTTGGGGGGAAGTCCTATGATGCATATCTGTGTGCTAAAAAAAGAAAGCAAACAAAAAATACCCCCCAAAATTAAAGCAAATGATTACCAAAAGAACACAAACTGTAATAGAAGTACAGCTAATGTCAAAAAGAAGAATCACCAGTAATTGCACTACTCTAATATGACCAGTGGTAGGATTTTGTTCAATATACTTCTTATAATTTTTTATAGGACTACTTTGTAAAGTCTTTTTGGAGTATTATTTTGTTTAAAAAAAAAACACACACACACAACTCATCAATATTTTGTTTTAGATTGTATGTACATATCCATTCTTTTTAATAAGAGAAATTTTAATTAGAGAAATGGAGAGAAAAACTTACAGCTTTGCTGAGGTATGTACAATAAACTGCATATATTTAAAGTAGATGAGTTTTGACCAAAATACACTTAATGAAACCTTCATTACAGTCAAGGTAATGAACATATTTGTTACTCAAATAAGTGTCCTCTCTCGCTATTTCCTCATTCCCAGGCATCCCCTGATCTGTTCTCATGGTACATTAGTTACACAGTCTAGAATTTTATATAAATGGAATGGAGTACAGAATGTATTTTGGCTTCTTTTACTCAGCAAAATTTTATATGTATGTATCAACTTATGTGTATCCATGTTGTTACATGCAGCTATGTGTGGTTGCAGAGTAGTAATCTATATATGGATAAACCACATATCTATTTTGAGTGAATCTTTATGTGTGGTGTGAGGTAAGAATTGAGGTTTAATTTTTTCAATATGGCTGTCCAATTGTTTCACCAATTATTCTTTTTCCATTAAATTGCCTTGACACCTTTGTCAAAAACAATTGACCGTATATGTTGACGGCCTGTTTCCAAACTCGATTCTGTTTTGTTATTCCATTTCTTTATCTCTATGCCGATATGACACAGTCTTGATAAACCTAGAAATCAGGTAGAATAAATTATCCCACTTTGTTCTTTTCCAAAGATTTGGTGGCTAGTCTAAGTCTTCTTCATTTCCATTTAAATTTATGAATCATATTGTCGATTTTTAGTAAAATTTTTCATAAAATTGGCTTGTTTTTTAAATTTTAATTTCTGATTATACATCGCTAGTATTTAGAAATAGTTTATCTTTATTGTATAAACTCACTAGACACACAGATTAGTTCTCGTAGCTTTTTTGTAGACAGACAGTTACGATGTTTGCAAATAAAGGCATTTTTACTTCTTCCAGTCTGGCTGTGTTTCATTTTATTTTTTTCTTGCCTGTTATACTAGCTAGAACCTCTAATACAATGTGAATAGAAGTAGTAAGAGCATATCTTTTTGCTATTTTCTCAATCTTAGGGGGAAATATTCTTTAACTATTAAGTATGATTTAAGGTATAGTTTTTTGGTAGATGTGCTTTCTTTGGTTGAAAACACTCACTTCTATTCCTAGTTTGCTGAGAGTTTTATCCTGAATGGTGTTTGCTTCTTGTCAAATGCTTTTTCTGTGTTTATTGAGATGATTTTTTTTTTTATTTATTAATACTAAGAATTGCATTAATTGATTTTTTTTTTTTTTTTTCCGTTTTTTGTCTTTTTTCGTGACCGGCAACGGATCGCAACCCTCAGTGTCGCGCCCGTAC